TTTTATCTCCGTCAGAGCAACGGCGGTTACGCAATGTAGAACAGAGTGTAAGATATAGTGTACTCGTTGCATGTGCATATCCACGTTCAAAAGCTATCTATAAATGTGTTGGATGTGACTGTTGGAAACTTAGTAAGCTGGGTGATATGTTCTATTCGTAATCAATGGAGTTTAAAACTGGTGAAATTGATTAAAAATTATTAACTGTTCAGTATCTAAACTTTTTCATACTTTAATTGGTGGTTAAACAATGAACTTTCTTCATGTTCTAGTTGAGAAAAAACACATTATTTTAATGATTTAAACAATTTAGAGAATAAGCCCTAATAGCACCGGTCAATAAACAACTGAATTGGGTCTTTTCAGTCTGTGGTAAGACAAAAAACTCCGAAACCCAGTAAATGTAGGCGAAATAAAGTGCACTGAATCAAAAATCTATATTATCTATGTTTTTATATCCACAGCAGAGGTGTTTGCAAATCGTTAGAATCAAATGATAACAAATACATTTACGGTGACAATATTATATTCCTTCAAATTTCCGAGTATTCAGATTTCTCGTATGATGTCTTTGGGATGGTTCCAGTAATTATCAGGGGTATCATTCTAATGTTTCACAAATTCTTCACTTCCTATCGCTACAATCAGTTCTTTTCTTTTGGACCGAACGGAATTCTCCTGCGCTCGTATGTTTTGGAATTCATAGGACCTTCTTGCTTTTGCATATACTTTTTTTACAGTAAGGTTCACCCTGTACGAGGACCGTGGGCCACTCGAGGTAGAGGGTTACGTTAAGGGTTAGTATATATGGAGAGGAGAGGAAGAGAGTGGTTAAATCTAAACTTGAACAGGTTAAGATTATAGTGATCGGTGAAACATCCTTTTGGAAGTTTGTTCCACAAGGCGGTCGTTCGCGGGAAGATGCTGTTCGAGTGGAACTTGCTTCTCACTGATGGAATACGGAGGGAATGTGGGTGGCTTGCTACTATATAAGTGGCATGGTGGGCCCTAGCCGTGAAGTTTAGGACTGGTGGAGTCAAGGAATAGAGTTCGTCCGAGTATTTCCATGGAAGTAGCGATAAGGCAGTGAGAGACTTGCCACATCCTGTCTGTGAGAGAGAGATTGGAATGGGGAAAATAATTCTTCTCTAACAAAGATTCGGAGACGCTTTTGAACTATATCAAGACTAGAAACTGAGGATCGGGCAGTTCCTGCTAAAATATAGCAACAGAACTCTATTTTCGGTCTGATCTGGCTCTTATAAAGGTAGAGGATAGCATGAAGTGTCAGACATTTACTGGAACTGTACAGGAAGGTGCCGATCATTTTGCCTACATCTTTAACGATGGATCGGGCTTAAGAATTCCCCTTCGAGGCTGGGTGTGAGTTTACTGTTTAAATAGTTGATTCAAAGACGTTTGAATAGTTCCCAGTGTATTGATGTTCCTAATCCATCATGTCTGCTTGTTATTTACCTTCTGCCAGCTTGCTGCACTGTCATTGCTTTGTCTTCGTTATCTGCTCGAGAAGTCTCTTTAAAATTCCAGCAATCATCTAAATATTCTTGATGATTTAAGACGAGCAATAGCTTTAATAGTTTGAATTCTTTTCTGGATTTCCAATTATTCCAGCTATTCCCAAGACTCTACTGAACTGTGGTGGGTACCCTTATGTTTGCTAGTAAAATTATCTTTATATTTCAGATTATGTGAACATTTTCGAAAATAATTGTTCTAAAACATCTATTCGTAATTATTATTTTATTTATTGTAAATTGTTTGAATGAAAATTAATCGAAAGGACAATTATACTAAATGATAATTATTCGAAAGGCAAAACTTAAAATAAGAAATACACAAATGATAATTATTTGAAATACAGATATCGTTGATAAAGAAATTTAGATCTTTGAACATTAAATTATATGATATTGCACACAAATAATAAACTAATAAAGAATACTTGTTAAAGGATGCCTCTATTTTTTTAAGTTTTTCCTTTACGTCGCGGTATTTCTTGGCGCCACTGATATTTTGGCAATCTGCTCTTACTTTTGCAAAATAATTTTCTTGCAAGTCCTGTTCACTTTTAAGAGCATCTAAGAGTTTCCATACTATGGAATGATGTGATGTCACTTGCTGCAAAAATGTCATGCTTCAAGAGTATGTTATTAGTTCTAGGCAAATCAGCATTGACAACATATCTATTTCAAACATAGTATTTCGAATAATTATTATTTAGTATAATTTCGCTTTCGATTAATATTCATTCAAACATTTTGCAATTCGAATATTTTTTTTTCGAATGATTATTTTAGAACAATTTTTTCGATACGATATTTCATATTGATATTAATTCTCTAGAAAGATTTTTTTAGCGTTGCACTTTATTTCAAATTAATAATTCACTGTAATGGCGACACTGCTCTTTCTTTTTTCTTTATGGCGGCGAGATCTGTGTATGAATTTCGGACCTTGTATGAATTCCAAGTGGATGTAAAGGGTGGCGTAGCTTTTATAAATCTATTTACCCCACATGGGTTAAATCTCAGAGTAGGCTGGGATCTATCTATCTATCTATCTATCTATCTATCTATCTATCTATCTATCTAGATCTGTGTATGAATTTCGGACCTTAATTAATTTCAAGTACATGTAAACGGTAGCGTAACGGTTATAAATCTATTTACCCCGCCTATGGGTTAAATCTCAGAGTAGGATTTGTATGGATTTCGGACCTTGCATAAATTCCAAGTAGATGTAAAGGGTGGCATAACTGTTATAAATCCATTCGTCCTAGTTATGGGTTAAATCGTAGAGTAGGCTGAGATCTATCTATCTATCTATCTATCTATCTATCTATCTATCTATCTATCTATCTATCTATCTATCTATCTATATCTGTGTAATAATTTCTGACCCTGTATGAATTTCAAGTATATGTAAACGGTGGCGTAAAGGTTATAAATCTATCTCCCCTACTTATGGGTTAAATCGCAGAGTAAGTTTGGATCTATCTATCTATCTATCTATCTATCTATCTATCTATCTATCTATGTGTATGAATTTTGGACCCTGTATGAATTTCAAGTACATGTAAATGGTTATAAATCTATTTCCCCCAGTTATGGGAGCTCTTTTTTTCTTGAATGGCAGCTTGTCTCGGAAAACGAAACCTCTGAATTAAATAATACAGAAGACAGGTCATTTTTGCCTTGGTAGGCCAGCAGACTATGAAAAAGTATAACTGAATTCGAAACCAATCTGATGAGCGATATGTTCCGTCAAATTATATTCCCTCTATAGGTGCCTCAACGACAATAATAGGTTATAGTCCTCGGGATCATAATGAATTCCAAACTCCCCTAGAAAGTTTTTGTTCTCTTCGGCTGTTTTTTATTTGTGCGTTTGTGCTTATACATTTTGGGGGAAATGTTCAATGAAAATTATTATTGTCGTTGTTGGCTTGTACATCACTTGCGAGGATCAAGACAAAAGGCTATGGCCGTTGATTACAGATTAAACTTACCCACCTACGCTGACTGCGTGAAGTGGGGGGACAGATCTCGCACACCACAGATCAGCAAACCGTGTCAAAAAAGAGAAATAAATAGTATAGTGGCTAATGGGACATCCTCCACATGAAAACGTAAGAAGATTTTGAGCTCTATCAAATCTGGAAAGTGTGGATTGATCAGCTCCATTTCAAGAATGGCAGCAATACGCCATGTTTATTCGGATTTGATTCTTTTAAACACAAAGAATGGCGGAATGAAAAGAAAAATAACAAGATAAAAGGAAGTGCGATTTGATTTTGATTTTTCATTAAATTCCAAAGTAAACTAAAGTATTTAAGGCGTACTTTTGCACCAGAACCTATTTAGAGAAGTCGGCCGAACCGTATTGTTGTAATCATTTTACCTCAAGTAAGGCAATAAAGCCGCTAAGACACAAGGGATTACTGAATGTGTAAGAATGTCGGAAAAAGAAAATATTATTAAGCAGGAAAAAAAAATAAAAGAACAAGAATTAAGAAGACAAAACATAACGAATGATATTGTACTTAAATTTTTGAAAATCGAAGTTGGCTGGGAAGATAGAGTCCGAAAGAGAGTTCCACAATCGAGAAGTGCGAGAAAAGAAAATTATAGAAAGCATAGAATTTACGGTTATATCTATCCATTTCAATTGTAAAATGATAGGACCATTCGGTACTGCGGTTAAATTCCGTAGAGGTACCAAGGAAGATTATTGATAGAAAACTTATGTATCAGACAATATGCCTGTGTAGTCCTTCTTTTTAAGAACGATGGAGAAACTTCTTTCTGGAGAATGGGTCATCAGTTTCTAGACTCCGGTTATTCTTTTCTTTCTGGCTTACAATTGCCAAGACTGAATCCAAATATAAATCTGCCTTCGCGTGTCAGAGATTGAGTTAGATGATTATCGTTTCTTGGCAACCAAATTGTTTTTTTATTTTTACAGTGGAATATATCTGCTTCGCCTACGTAAAAAGATATTATATGTAGATATAAATATTTGTGTTATTATTTGTCCTGGACTTTTCTGTCCGTCTATTACTGCTTGGCAATAACAGATACTGCAAATTTGGAGTGTTGATGGCGCAATAGATAATGGCTCCGAATATGCAAATCTGACAGTCGAATTTCAATTCCAGACTGTATATTCCTTATCTTTGGGAAAGGTAAAAATTCATCTCTTGTTCCCAGATATGGATTAATTAGTCTAACTTGTATCAGTAAAAACGATTATTATCTCCAAAAACTTCTAAAAATCTAAAAATATTTTCTAGCTATAAATAACCCGCAAAAGTCTGTTTAGTCGTAAAATCAGATCAATCAATCATATTGACATACTGAAGGTGAAGGTGAAGGTTAAATCTTCCAGTAACCTATATAATGAGTTTTTGGGAATAAAATATTTTTGACAAGCCGTAAAGAAACAAACCAATTAATTAATGTCTGTCTGTCAGAGATTTTTTAAAGATAGATAGATAGATAGATAGATAGATAGATAGATAGATAGATAGATCTCCAATATAAAATACTCTTTCTCTATGAATAAACATATACGATTCATTTAAACAATGCCTATACACTCTCTCAGAAGGTAATATTTTTTTTAAATATGTTTGACTATATCACAAGTTTAGCGGAGTGAAGTATTCAACATTTGATAATTTTGCGACAATGCACGCTTAAAGATTTTAGGCATGTTTTCATCAACATTTCTCTTCATGGTTAGCCGTAAGGAATTGTAATTGTAGGACTACCTTACACTTAAGTAAAATAATAACAATATTTATTAAGAATTTATTATAGGAAATATCAAGTTTATGGATATTGTTAACAATTATGTATTTAGTTACAAAACAAATAAATAAAAATAATATAAATTTTGATGCTACATTCGTTTTGTTGTAAGGTATTTTTCATTTTCTCCTTTGTTATTGACAGCATTTTAGAATATTTTGGCTGCAATGCTAAGTTTAACAAACTAGAGCTATTTCGTTTACGCTTTGTTACCTCTCTTTTCCATTGTTGTTTTTAGATCGCTTTCTTCCAGTCATTTTGATAGGCAATAAGAAACTTCTGAAATTTACAATGATCTTATTCCATTTAAAACATAAAGCCTATAGAAAAGGAACATTTTAACTTAATATACAACCAAAAATATAATGCTCTTAACAAAAAACATTAATGATTTCACTATAATTATGTAACAATAATGTAATGATATTCCGCAAACGAATCTACGGTTTATGTTACGAACTATAAAACTAAATTGTGCTCGAAATTTTGTGTAATCGGTTCCAATTTTTTTGTAAAATACTTGGATATGACTATAATGAATAATTTACAGTGAAAAAAGCAATTTTCGTTTTTTGTTCAATATGCCCCGCCTCCGCCGAACGTATCATATAGACAAGCCGAATTCCTTCAATTTCTTTTCATTTATGTTTTTATCCCTTTTGTTATTAAATATCCTACATTCTGAAATAGAAAATCTACCAACTTATAACAATACATATGTCTTGCTGGATAAATTGTGAGAAAAACATCAATAAGAAAGTAAATGAAACCTTCTAGATTATATATATATATATATATATATATATATACTAAAGCATATCTTTGAAAAATAATCATATAAATTTTAAATTTCAGTCATAGCTCTTTTTCATACGCATGTGCAATCTCATCAACATAGATATTAATTTATTCCGATGAAGTCTAATTAAACAAACGCGTCACATCACTTTATCATGGTCTTTTTCCCTTAAAATTGATCTTGATATATAAAAACTATATATATATATATATATATATATATATATATATATATATATATATATATAATATATATAGGAAAACTATTCAAAACTATTCAAATATATATATATATATATATATATATATATATATATATATACATAGGTCAAAACGATATATAAGTTTTTACATATCAAGAACAATTTTAGGGAATATATATATACAGTCGCTGCCATAATATAAGGAACGGAAACAACAAAGACATAAATATGTGTATTACTTAAAAAGTAATGCGTGATTAGCAATGAAATTTTTACCGAATAAAGATTCGGGTGTAATACATAAATATTATACAAAGTTACAAAAATTTACATAATAGTTTTTTTTAAATAAAGATTAAATGGAACAAAGAAAATAAACTACTGGACAAAAGTTAAGGAACGATGTTAATAATTAGCATAAACTTTTAATTTACATTGTTCAAAAACTCGATGTATAAGTAAAAGTTCATTTATCATTAGGACTTTATTCTTAAGCAATATGGCAAATTCTACACGCAAACGCTCTCTTTTGAAGAAAAAACTCATAACTATCAAGAAAAAAAGTCAATTTCAGAAATTTCTGATATTGTTCATAGGTCTAAAAGTGTCGTTCATCGTGTAATTAGCAGGTATAAAACCGATAAAACTTTAGATGCAAAACTAAAAACCAGCAGACCTCCAAAAACATCGCAAAGAGAAGATCGAAGAATTGTTAGACTATCTACAAAAAACCGTTTTGAAACTGCTACATCAATTGCCCGTAAATTTAATGAAGAGACAGATAATAAGATCTCAAGGAAAGCAGGTTAAAAAGGCAGGATTGCATGCCCGTATTCCAGCTTCGAAGACTCTCATTTCAAAGCGAAACCAAAGGGCACGCCTGGAGTATGCGAGAGAACATGTTGTTTGGACTGACGCTCAATGGGATACAGTTCATTTTAGTGACGAGTCCAAGCTTACTATATTTGGTTCTGAGGGCAAAACTTACGTACGCCGTAGAACAGGTGAAAGACTGTCAAGAAAATCGTTAAGTTTAGTGGCGTCAGTATGATGGTGTAGGGAATGATTTCATCTGCAGTAGTTGACCCTATCATCCACGTACATGGCAATAACAATGCTGAGATTTACAAAAGTCTTCTTCAGCAGCATGTGGTACCAAGATTACACCATAATCTTTATGAATCTCCTATTTTCATGTAGGACAATGCACCTTGCCACAAGGCTCAGAAGGTTATGGCTTTATTTGAAGAAGAAGGAATCGCCCTAATGAAGCCCAGAGCCCCGACCTGAATCCAATAGAAAATGTTTGAAAGATAATTGGAGAAAGGGCTCAGAAAAGAAACCCGAAAAACCAGGATCACCTATGGGAGTTATTGAAAGACGAATAGGAGGGAATTACTGCTGATTTTTGAAGAAATTAATTAGATCATGTGGTCGACGATGCAGAGAAGTCATTGAAAATAAGGGGATGTTTACCAAATATTAAATTTTGTTGATATTTTGTTCACAATCAAGTATTAACAAGATCGTTCCTTAATTTTTGTCCAGTAACTTATTTCCTTTGTTCCATTTAATCTTTATTTAAAAATAAAACTATTATGTAATTTTTTTAAGTAATACACATATTTATGTCTTTGTTGTTTCCGTTCCTTATATTATGGCCGCTACTATATATATATATATATATAAATAAATATAGTGGTAGCACCTGTCATGGTACAAGATATGGGCAAATGGTTAACTCCCCAAAAGGAGTCAAAACACTATGAAAGTATAAAAATAGGTTTTAATACCAACAATACTTTTTGGAAAAAATATTACCAGCATTACATTATTACCAGCATTATATTTTTGAAAAAAAAAATTTACCAGCGGTAAAAATCTTGTCGGCTTTAAATAACCCATTGAGGTTGACATGCTATAAAACAAAATATACCAAAGTAAACCAAAAATCTTTCCGGCATTAAATAACCCATTGAGTTTGATATGCCGTAAAACAAACCAAACCAAACCAAACCAAACTAGATCCAAAGGAATACAGAGCATTAGACTCTGGGACGGCTTGACTGCCGGTGTTGCCAGAAAGTTGTCATTGCTGACAGCTAATCATCTTCGGGGGTCCACTCCTAGTTTTCTGCCTGAATTTACTTCCATCGTCTTTTCCGGGTTTTGGATATTATCACAAGACAGGGTTTTTCTTCTCCCACATGAACTACTTTCCTGGAGCTCCATCTACACTGAAGCATAGGGAGACAGAAAGGGAAAAGCAGGGAGAGTGATATATATTATCAGTACAGTAAAATAAATTTATCAAACCAAGTTCGATTTCTATTGAACTTCCTTGTTTTCACTATGTAATGATATCACAGATAAAGGCAGGCACGATGAATAAGATTCTGACTTGATCTCTTTTCAGTGAGATGAATGTTTAACCTTTTCCAAATTTGGTTTCACTGATCTCAGCATTTGATATTGTTGCGGGAACCAACACTTTTGATATGAGTGTGTAAACTTTTTATGATAAATATTTATAGGATCCTGGAACAATTTCCTCGCAAACAATATTGGCGGACTCCAGTGAGTCCGGGTAAAAATAAAACACGAAACATGGAACTTAAAACAAACGGCAATTAATGCATGTTATTAACAAATGCAATTACAAGTGTAGGCAATTGAAATCAAAGGAAAAGTCATGAAAACTAGCTATAAATTGTGTGTGTGTGTTTGTGTGTGTGCGCGCGTGTGTGTGTGTGTGAAACAAGCGTGTGTGATTCATGCGTGTGTGTGGGCGGACAAACGTGTGTGATTCACGCGAGTGTATGTGGGTGTGTGCTAGAGTTCAGTCAATAGAGCACCAACAAAGCGAATGCCCCCTGACGGCAGCGTTCTTTAAATATCTTCGACAACCTCTGGAAGCAAGAGGAAAAAGAGAAAGAGAAGTAAATGTTTACCTTTTTATATACTTAAATAGCGCCACCTAACGGAAAATTATGGCAAACCATAATATAAATGCAATGGAAGAAAATGAGAAATCTGAACACATAATCTGTTTCCTGTTGACCGGTTCTTACGTAATTCATCAAAATTAACAGATGTTACATAAAACAAATTCGGGTTTTATTTTTAGAGAGGAAATTGATTTAGACGGGTTAAGGTTATTCTTAAGATCATGTAAAGCATACAGAATCTCATAAAACATTAGCTAAAAGAAAAATCAATCCAGACTTTGATAAATTGCCAAAGGAGTCAGAAAGCAAGTAACTAATTGGACACTAGCCATAAAACAACATTTACAAAATTTATCAAACCAATGTTATTTCTCGCAAATTTCTTCTACGATATCTGCCTCAAATGCGCGGCGCAATCAGACCAAACTAACGTCAATGAATATCTCTTCAATCCTCAGATGTGTGTTGCCAGGATGACACTGAAGAAGCCACATCCACCCTATTCAACTCGATCTCTCACTGTCGCTTTTCAAGCATCTAGAGAACATTTTTTAAACCACAAGATATTCTGTTGCAAAGAAGATGCAGAAATTGCATTCAAAGATTTTTTGGCATCCAAAACTTTGCAGTTTAATCAGAAAGGCATAAATAACATTGTCATTCGATGGCAGAAATATATAGATGTTCAGGGTTCCTATTTTGACTGATTTAAACATTGTTTAAATACATTAATTCTGGAATAAACGTTGTTTTTAAGATCGTACATTATTTTCCGAACAACCTAATATTTCGG